GGGGAAGTATTGATCAATTTATGGAAAATGGGCTGAAGTTACTCGCCTTAGGGCGAAAACCTTTTTACTTGTTTAATATATGTTTTACGAAAAAAGATTTTTTATAAATATATCTCCTGTAAGAACCATATTTTAGGGTAGTCCTTAATAACGAAAAAGTAAAATGTCAACGCAACCCCTATTTGATAAATGTGGCAAGCTGACTGGTCAAGTATGCGCGATTCTGCACATATGGGTGCAAGGGTCTTAAGGGATCGTGTTAAGGGAGTTAAGTTGCGTACGCGCTCTGATCACGATCGTATCATGGATGCTAAGTAGAGCATCGGACGTATTAGTGAGTTTGGCGTAATAGCCCTTTAATGTGAGTGTGTCCCACGTGCAGGTGGTGAGTGTCTCCTACGAGTAGGTGGTGAGTGTATTATGCAGGCCATCGTGCTGGTCGTGCATTGTTGTTGGGCTATGGTAAAACCCCTGGCAGATATTCGGATATATTCCTAGGCTTTTAGAGTGCATTATGTGCATGTGCCTATGACGCGGTCCCGCGGCTAGCTCCCGTTGATTATACCGCTGAGTGATCAACTCGCTCGAGTAGATCATGCTGTCGACCCAATACGAAACATAAAGGCCTCATTGTTAAGTTCGGGGGTGAGCTCGACGTGGATGTCGTTCCCAGGTAGGGCAATGTGACATAGATCGACGTTACTGATCTATTGGCCGAGGGTCCTAGTGAGAGGGCCAAGTCGGGATGTGTATCCTAAATAATACACGTGCGCGCGGGGTAACCTTTTCCCAAATAGGTATGAGCTCCATCTTAACCCTTCAGGAAGCCATCTCCAACGACGCATTCAACCCCAATCGCCAACCGGAGTGTTCGAAGATCCAGGAGAGCTTAGTGCCAGCTTGGGGCCAACGCCCCCCGGTGAGTTACTTAATTAATTGGTGAGGATCGCGGTTAAGCAGTCGCGATATTTGTTTACATGACCCTTGAGCGCGGAAGACGACCAGTCAGACTGAATGCTGCCATGTTAACCCTTATGCGTTTCTAATGAAAGGTGAGTTTACAGTAGATTTGTCGCATCTTACTAATGAGTTCTGACCAACAATTAGCTCCCATTTAATTAGCGATTTCCCTTGTTTTTATATAAAATACCCCTCTTTACAATTCAGGCGTGGGGTCAGAATCCAAGCGCATTTTTGCATAGGATAGCGACAGTCTACGTAAACTTTCACCTCTGCGTATAAATTTGTAGTATTTTGCAATATTAATTCCCACCTTTCTTATATCCTTAAGAACATGTGTACCAATTTTCAAAGTGATTGGACGCTTCTAAACAAAGTTATGTTGCACATGGACAGACAGACAGACAGACATACAGCAGCAATACAAAATTATAATAACGGTTACATTCACCTCCATTGTATAAAAATTGCTGTATGTGTGTGGAGTATCAGCCTCCGCAATGTCCATTTTTACCACTACTGAACTAAGCGGTGGCGGAAGGGGGTTAAGAACATGTGTACCAATTTTCAAAGCGATTGGACGCTTCTAAACAAAGTTATGTTGCACATGGACAGACAAACAGACAGACATACAGCAGCAATACAAAATTATAATAACGGTTACATTCACCTCCATTGTATAAAAATTGCTGTATGTGTGTGGAGTATCAGCCTCCGCAATGTCCATTTTTACCACTACTGAACTAAGCGGTGGCGGAAGGGGGTTAAGAACATGTGTACCAATTTTCAAAGCGATTGGACGCTTCTAAACAAAGTTATGTTGCACATGGACAGACAAACAGACAGACATACAGCAGCAATACAAAATTATAATAACGGTTACATTCACCTCCATTGTATAAAAATTGCTGTATGTGTGCGGAGTATCAGCCTCCGCAATGTCAATTTTTACCACTACTTAACTAAGCGTTGGCGGAAGGGGGCCCGCTTTCCAGTTTCCAGAAAGATCATATTCGTTCAGCATAACAGTGCGTGCGACCATCAGTACAATCAAGAGGGCAAGCTATTTCACTTAGTTTTCCCGCGCAAAGTGGGTGTAAGCCTGTAAGGTGTATTTGTACGATAGTGTGTTATAAAAATGCACGGGTAAGTATCGTACTTTACATAGGTTTTTCAAGAAAATGTCAAATATGTGCTAAGTACTGCAGTATTCGCTAATATAAATAGTATTGAATGTGATTTACATTATTTAAAGGCTCACCGTGTATAGTTACTGAAAAAAGGGTAAGTAATATCCTTTGTTGTAGTTCTCACACCGGTCTATACTTTGGTACTATTTATTTTGGCAAGTACGTACTTGATTTTTTGTAGAATTAGTAGGTAAAGAAACTTGGAAATTTAAACGACCAATTAATCATTACTAATAAACCACATAGAAAATGTAGTACGTCTTTCCGACTTGACCCATCTATGAAAATTTGGAACTTTCAAACATCTCTATAGTCCATATGTAATTTTGAAAATTGGCAAATTTACCTCTACAGAATTGAGATAATGGCGTTGTGATGTTTTCCTGAATTAAATTATTAGAAGCAGCAATTTTGAGATTTTTTTACTGAAATGCATGCGGTTATTAAAATCGAAAATTTACGCTTCCACATTCTCTAGTCATCTCTGAACCACACTTGGAGCCGGTTGTACAAAGGCAGTTTAAACCTCGTTTGGATTAATGCAGTGGATTGAGATATATGATGGGTTGAAATTTGACAAAACGTCAAACTTCAATCAATCTTATACCTTATACCACTGGTTAATTTTAAGCGAGATTTAACTGGCCTTTGTACCACTAGCCCTTAGTGCATTTCACTATATTTATATCCCTTTCCGCAAATTTTCGTTATCGTACAATACATTGTTTTCTTGGGTATCTAGATAATGCCCTTTGACTTTTTGCAATGAAATTATTACATAAATAATGGATTTTGAAATGTTCGTCATTTCTAGGGTATCAAATACGGAAAACGGAAATACAAGAATTTTCTCTGTTCTCGAAATATCATTCAAAACGTCCAGAAAACGCAATATCGGCCTATCGAAAATTTATCGCGATTACAACACAGACTTTCCTTTATACATACTTTGTATGTAGCCGGAAAGTAAAAATTGCCAAATTTGTTTTTTTTCGAAATATTTCATTTATTTTATTTCGCTTTTTTTTATATTATACGGTTTTCGAATTATTGTAGAAACCCGCACTTTTTGAATTAGAACATTTATATATTTTCTAACGCTTGAATTTTTTTTCAAAAATAAAAACGACAGTGCAAGTTTGCTATAACTAGAAAACCGCGCAATATAGAAAATGCTAATAACATAGTCCAATATAATATTTTCGTATAAAGAACTTCTATTTTTGGTGTTATTCAAATATTTTTAAAAATAAATGAAATATCTTTAAATATGAGATTGGAGATTATTTGAAATTGCGCTGTTGTACCGCTATAGTCTGGGGTAGGTCAAAACAGCTAAGCGCAATAGCCCGTAGTGAAAATAAGGCTGCCCATGCAATCTTTTTGCCTTTGTTTATTATTTTTTATTGTAATTACAAGAAGATAACAAGCAGTTCCCGACATTATAATAATTATTTATGGAACGATTTCCACGAAATTTGGGTAGTAGGTCCTTCTAACAAATGCAAATTAAATTCATTTTTAAGAAATCGTCCTGCGCATGCGCAAAACTCAACTTTCTTATTATATTGAACGAAATTTTGAAGGTTAGGTCCCTCTAACAAAAACAAATAAAATGCATGCCCAAAACGCCATTTTTAAACCGAAGCGTCAAAATATGAATTTGACATTACAGTTTTGCAAACCCCTTTTGACAAGGGACAAAAATGTAATATGCTTAGTCGAAGTCTTATAAGCGCCAAAAATTAAATATCCGTTTCGCACCAAATCTCCCATTTCGGCGGGTGATACAAAAACGGCGTTGGTCGTAAAACGTTGTGATCGGTCGGAGCGAGCGAAGCGAGCTCCGGAACGATCTAGTTATCCACTAAATACTGAAGCAATTCTAATACCAATTAAATAGAAAACCCTCCCTTCAAGCAGAAATGTGACCCAATGAAGGGGTTGAAGAACCAAGTCTCTCATCATATCTCTTAAACATATACTATCACGATGAAATTTTACGTATTTGGTTAATGATCATTTGAGAATAAATAACCAACAAAGATTCCCAGGTGCACTTCCGTCCAGGGGGTTGAAATAGTCGCCCCTTTGTGAACCTGGGTATTTTTATTGATTATCTATTCTCGAATTATCATTAACAAACCACGAAAATTTGATCGTGACAGTATGTGCCGTTTTGGAGATATGATGAGAGGCGGCTTCTTCAACCGCTTCTTTGGCTCCCATTTCTGCTTGAAGGGAGGGTTATCTATTGAATTGTAATTAGAATTGTTTCAGTATTTCATAGAAAATGAACAAAAGAAAAAAACTTGTTTGGAAAGGCCTATTTTCACTTCGGGTACATTCGGAAATTTTGGTCGCTCTTTTTACACCGGTAGCGCAATCGGAGTTTCTTGAAAAAATACTAATGCTAGTGAAACAGGGAGAACGTGTTGATAAAGTTAACTGCAATAGCAAACCTCTCATGAATTAATTTACTTCAATTTTTTGCAGTTTAGAGAAACAATTAACTCGGGGAAGGAGACTGGTGTTATTAGCGACACAGGATCCAAAGGTCCCGAGCGAGAAACCTACAAATTTATCCGGTAAGAATGAGGTAAATACCTGCAGTTACAAAAAACTATTTCTTTGAACACATTTAGGTTCAAGTATTGCGCCTTCTATAGACTATTCTTTTTCGGATTTATCATCAATTGTGACTGATTCATATGTTGATCCTACTTACGACCATACGGTAAAAACTAGATGAATAATTTATTCATTTTGTTACATGCTTTATGTTTATTTCAGAAAGATGTAAGCGATGATAGTTCATCCTCAGCACCCTCTTCCTCATTACGATCGATACGATCTGTTACAATACCTATGCAAGAGCCTGTAATAGGTAATGCAGACAATCATGATAAGGTATTCCAGTGGTTGAATGTTTCTGAAAATCAAGTACGTTTATTTATACATTATACGTATATGCTGCACTTAATATTATAAGTAGAGTTACTCTATAATAGGGATCTATTATTAATTATAGATATTGTTAAATTATCGATTCAATTGAGAGTGACCCCTGCCATTTACCACACTTAATTTTGTATATAACGCCGGGATCGTAGAGTTATTTAATCAAATCATACTATTGATAACTGTAGTTGCCTTCTTGATCAGCTGTACCGACTTTTTATTAACGATCCTCTAGATCGTTTACAATTTTGTATTGCTGTCTGTCTGTCCGTCTGTCTGTCCGTCCGTCTGTCTGTCCGTGTGCACGATAACTTTGTGTAGAAACGTCCGATCGCTTTGCAAATTGATACACATGTTCTTCGGAATATACAGGGTGACAATTTGAAAACTTACCACCCCCCACATCTTAGTAAACAAACGAGATATTAAAAAAATCAAAATCCGTTTCGGTAATTCGCAGGGGGAATCACAATGACATAGTTGGCGACGCACCCCCTCCAACCCCCTGCGCCCCAGCCACCCCAACTTTTAAATCTTAAATAGTGACCCCCCATGTGTGTACGTCGTTGGAAAGCTCTGAAAAAATGCTTTCCAACCATACCAAATAGCATTACATTTAGGTTAGTAATTATCGTGCAAATCAAAAAATAAACTAATATGATACATTTGAAATCTGTCGTATTTATAACGCAACCGGCGAACATAGACGAACTAAGACAGAGAATAATTCAAGAATGTCAAAATATTGCAAAACCAACATTTGAAAAGGTTCGACAAGAGTTTGAGGATAGATTATAACTGGCGATCAAAAATGAGTTGCTATCGAGTCGGCTTTGGAAGTTCAAGTTAAATACGATTTTCCATGTTTATTTTTTGATTTGCACGATAATTACTAACCTAAATGTAATGCTATTTGATATGGTTGGAAAGCATTTTTTCAGAGCTTTCCAACGACGTATCACACATGGGGGGTCACTATTTAAGATTTAAAAGTTGGGGTGGCTGGGGCGCAGGGGGATGGAGGGGGTGCGTCGCCAACTATGTCATTGTGATTCCCCCTGCGAATTACCGAAACGGATTTTGATTTTTTTAAATATCTCGTTTATTTACTAAGATATGGGGGGTGGTAAGTTTTCAAATTGTCACCCTGTATGAAAGGTCGGTATTGGCTACGTAGACTAACGGACCAAAAAGTTACCGCCCAAAAACTGGCCAAACCTCCAAAAAGGGTTTCTCTTATAACTCTTGTTACAAAGAACATATAGGCCAGTAAATGACCGTTTTGCCTTGTAATTTTTCGCGCCTCGACGGATTTGCTTCAAAATTTGGATTTAGGTTCCTCTTACTCTCTACTTCAAAGGTGAACTTGAGTCCAGGGTTGCTTTTACTTGGGGAGTGAATGCCACCCCTTCTCGGGGGGGAAAATACGTTCAAAATAAATCCGGAAATTGATAAATTGAGTAATTCTAAGCAACTTTTGTTCTATAGAGTTTTTTCACTAAGTCAATAGTATTAGAGTTATTTGCGAGTGAAAATGATCAGTTTCACCGGAGCAAAGTGGTTAGTTTTGAAAAAAATGTCGTTTTGAGGTAAAAAAAATTTTGAAAAATTGCCTACTGTAGTAAACTAAACTAATACACTAATAATTATTTGGCAAAAAAAAACAATTTTTCAAAATTTCAAAATTTTTTTTTACCTCAAAACTACATTTTTTTCAAAACTAACCACTTTGCTCCGGTCAATCTTACAGATCATATCAACCATACATAAATAAAGTAAACTGTAAAGCGGTAACGCTTAATTACAATTAGGGTGCTAATTAGGGGGTGATTTCCTCAATTTTTTTTACCAAAAAAAAAAGGACTAACTTTATTTTGAGCGTAACTCACTTAGTTTTGATGCTAGGAACTTTTCTTAAAAACAAAATGAAAGGTTTTTTCAAACACTTTAAAAAAGTATTCATAAGTTTTCCTCGAAAAGTGCTTCATTTTTTGGTTATTTCACGTTGAAGTACTCGGTTTGGAATTTGACGAATGAGAACCTACTTTTCATGAGCTACAACTTTGTTTTTACTGGGTCTACAGACTTCATATATAGACCATTTTGTTTGTTTTTTTATAAGCTATATTTTTGCTAAGAATACTTTATTCGATACAATACTTACTTTTAGAGTTGTTTGTGAAAAACCGTCTGAAAACGTGGTTTTTTTTGTTGAATAATGAACATTTTCACTTGCAAATAACTCTAATACTATTGACTTACTGAAAAAACTCTATAGAACAAAAGTTGCTTAGAATTACTCAATTTATCAATTTCCGGACTTATTTTGAACGTATCTTTTTCCCCCCGAGAAGGGGTGGCATTCACCCCCCAAGTAAAAGCAACCCTGGACTCAAGTTCAACTTTGAAGTGGATGGTAAGTATAGTCCATCCGTTATTGCTATTCCGATATGTAATTAACCCCACTAACTGCAGCGTTAACTTTTTTTTCTTCACGTCGTCGATTTAATATAAATAATTCTCTCAAACAAACTGCAACGCGTTATTGTTGACGTGCAGAATAAGAATGAACGTAAGGTATCGCAACGGTTAAGCGATTTTAGCTCGTATCGCTTACGTTAAAGAATGTTTATTGAAGTGAATTTCGCTTGCATGGCATGGCAACGAGTAGGCGTAAACAACATTGCTGTAAAGAAAAACTGGATCCAAGCGAAATTCAGTTCAATTAATATTATTTGAAATAAGCAGTACGATCTAGAATCGATTAACCGTTTCGGATGCGTACTTTGTTCATTCTTATTCTGCACGTCAACAATAGCGCATCGCAGTTTGTTTGAGAGAATTATTTATATTAAATCGACAACGTGAGGTAAAAAAAGTTAACGCTGCATTTAGTGGGGCTAATTACATATCGGAACAGTAATAAGAAATAGACTATAGAACCTAAATTCAAATTTTCATGCGATTCGGTGGAGACGCGGAAAATAATACAGTATCGCCGTATTCCACGTTCATTTACTGGCCTAATATGAATGTCCGGATTTCTGTGTTGATTTCTTAAACTTCAGGCAACTATGCAGATGCAAAAAAATATTGCGCATGCGCATTACAACTTTTATATTGCCGCAATCCCAATTTTTTCATTTGTTATGATATTTAATGGAAATTTTGTATGTAGGTAGGCACCTCGAATAAAAGTAAAACTAGTGCCGAATCAAAAAATTTGTTTTGCGCATGCGCAATCCGATTTTTTTACATCTCCGTTAGTTGTGAACCGAATTGCATGAAATTTTGTATGTAGGCACCTCAAATAAAAGTAAAACTAGAGCCGAATCAAAAAAATTGTTTTGGGCATGCACAGTCGTTTTTTTGTTAAGATATTTAGATGAAATTTTGTATGTAGGCACCTCGAATAAATGTAAAACTAGTGCCGAATCTAAAAATTTGTTTTGCGCATGCAAACTAGTGCCGATCTGGTTGGACAGAATCAACCCCTTATTGTAAAAATGATGTATGTGTGAAGATCTTGAGGATCGTTCGGTATTCAGTTGTATCGGATCTATTGTTATTGTTGTGGCGTATTCGTGTTGATGTATTTCATTTGAGATTAGGTAGTTTTTGATGACATGATGCTATCGGCGGCAATTGCATCAGATGATTCAGTTTCAGTAATGTTTATTTTGGCGGATACGGTATAATCAGTGTCATTATTAAGAGGGGAGTACCGTAAAGCGTGAGTCTACACTCAAGATATTACAGATACCTGCAAGAAAATGGCACCTTAAAACGCGATGTCACACACGCAAATTTTCATTTCCTTTTATTTTATTTGCGAATTTGTTTCCAACCAAAAAATAGATACTGCATACTAGGATAATCAAAGAATTAGGTATTAAAGAAACCGCAAAGTGGTCCCCCAGCAACATCATGTTGAAGGCGAAGGCTCGATGATTTCTGTGATAGCTAATACTGTATGGTTTAAATCTCACATTCATGCATCTGTTTTTTTAGCAACAAGAGGAACATGCATCCAATGCCGATGAATCAAGTTCATTACAAACAGTATCTAATGCTTCATCAGCCCGTGCAATTCATATAATTTCCGATGTACAACTCAAAAAGGTAGTTTTCCTATCGTTTTAAATATATTTAATTTTCCTTTGCTACTAATTACTACGAATTTTGTGTCGCCATCCTTAATCTAACCTATCTCCGATAGTTCGAATTCAATTTTATACTCGTTATAGCCAAATTCAAGGCCAGGCGATAAACTCGAAAAGAGTGATGAAAATTCATTTCAACCAATAAGTGAGGTGTTCCCTCAGGACTTAGAAGTCCCTTCCAACTCACAGTCAGTAAAGGTAATTTTAGAATTTTCTGAAGTACATCCTTTGGTAATTTTTCTCTTTCCATAGGCCACATTGCATAAACTGCGGTGGAAAAAGAAAAAGACATATTGCAAGTTTTGTAACGAATCCGTTACAAACTTTGAGCGTCACTTACAAAGGAATCACGCAGAATGCAAGGAAGTTATAGAGTTCCTCAGTTTTCCAAAGAGAAGTCAGGAAAGAAAGACAATAATTACGTTACTGCGAAATTCTGGGCATTTTGACGAATTTTTAAGAGGAAACGTTCTACCTGTATATAGAGGAAATATTAGTAAGTCT